TGGAACTCAGCAGAAAAACAAACATTCGGAGCCGAATCAGTTTCAACCATCAGTTGTTGTTTGTGACGACTTCAGAGAACACGTCTCGTCCTCTTGCTTGTTTCTAGAAGGTGAATCTAGAGGTTTCTCTGGGACAGAGTGGATCTGACCAAACATTACTCTGAGCACGTGAAGTGACAGATTTCATTTCATTACAGGCTGATCTCCTGAGTTCATCAGACTCATATCGTCGGAGTTAGTTTTCACTGAAGCCTCCTCAGTGCAGAACTCTCCCTCCCTGCAGACCCTCGTCCTCTCGTCCCCTCGTCTGCCCTTGTTCCAGTAAAACGTCTTTAACCCTCCTATTAGCACACTTGGCTCCTTCCGATCTGCCTTTCGTCCTCCTAATTTGTCATTTCATTTCCCAAGATGTTTCCTCATTACCTTCTTTTTCATCTCGAGTTGTTTTATGGCTTCCTCGACACCCTTTACTCTCTGGGACGCCCTTGTCCTTCTCACTTTAACAGTCGCAGGGATGGATGGAAACACTTTGAGCTTTGACGGATGATTTGCTTTAACCTTGATGAGGTGAATGTGATTTTTTTTTGTAAAAGCCGCGGTGGACTTGGCTGATCCTGGTCCTGTGTCACTTTCAGAGGAAGGATGTGTCCCATCCTGTGGGGGGGGGGGGCTGTCCAGTTCTAAAGAAACCGAGTGTCTCTATCTGAACTGGATCAGATTTGATTTTTAGTTGAACCTCCTGCCTTTTTTGAAAATCTCACAATTTTAAAATCACTGTCGCTGCTGCAGTTTTATTATTTTCCAGGTAATTAGTGAGTGCGACGCTCCGAACGATCCCCTGTGCACAAATACTGTACAAGTAATTACAAGGATGCGTGGAGGAGAGCTGAGCTGACGAATGGGACGCAGCCAAGCGGCCCGACTCCCCTCGTCAGGAGTTGGCCTGGAGTCCGATGGGCCGATCCAGCGAGGCAGCAAAACATGACACTGTTGTATTTTTTTCTGGAGCTGGCAGCGACTGTGCTGTTCCTCGTCGACATGAAGCGAGGCCGCCATCGCTGCTCGGATGAAAAACTCCGGCCTGCAGCTCTGTCTGAGATTCTCCTCTCCTTCATCTGCTGTGTTTCTTGTGCTTCTCTTCTTCCGTCTCCCTCTGTTCGGATCATTTCGGTCTCTCCTCCTACACGCTCGTTCTTTTGCCTCTTTACAGTTGATCTGCGTTTCTTTCTTCCCTTTTTCTTGGCTCCTACACACTCGTCTGCTTCCACCTCTTCCTATACATAGACTCTCTTCTCTTCAACTCCACCTACACTCTTTTCTTTTTCCTGCTGTTTTATCTCCTTTTCCATCTGCCTCCCTCTTTTCCCATTTCACCTCTGGCAACAGCTGGATCTCTGGCAAAGTATTTTTAAGACGACCGTAATGTACAAAGCTGGAAAGTGAACGTGGAAAGCGTTTCTTTACTCTGTCAGTGTTTCAGCTGTTAATCTATGGATTGTTTTTGCTTCCTCGGAATCTAAGTTCACTTCTCCTTTGAGCTTGATCAGCAGTTATGTGTGTAACCGAGCTTCTATGAGTTCTGGCTGCCTGGCACGTTATGTAAGACCTGGATTTTTGATCATCCATAGAAAAAAAACATAGAAGTTGTGACACTGCCAGGAGTTCATTTCTTTTTTTATTCCTGGTGGGGGGGCTCAGGTTGGAATTCACATTATGAGCTTGTACCTTCGACATGAAGCACGAGGCATCGTCTTCAGGACAGAGCTACGTGAGTTTCTCTCGTGTCGTAGGATATACTTAAATTTACTACCTCAGAAAGTGGGTTGCTCATAAAATACTGATTGCAAAGTTTACAAAGATTACAAAGATATTTAATTCACGAGGATAAAAGACCAAGAAAAGAAGCACGTGCTCGTTTATTTGATGCTGCAGAGCGGAGAAGTTTCCGTATCTGTGCCAATATCTTATCAAAGTTTCAAAACTTTTAATTTGAATATTTAATTTAATCAACGTCTGTTGATTTTAAAACATCGAAGCGCTGATCCACGGATCTCTCAGGAAGGTCAAGCCACTCGTCGTGGTTCGTCCTTCTGTCAGAAATCACAGAACTAACTTTCAGTGCTGACTTCTGACGGAAGCTTTTCTATCGTCAGTGCCTCTGCTCACATTAGACGCGAGCTCTTCGCCTCTCGTTACCTAGAAACGGACCTGACCCAGGACTGGAGCTGGGCCGGGTCCAGAACAGTATTCAGTCTGCAGAGGTCCTGCAGGTTTCTGTTGCGCTGCTGCAGCTGCTGGAGGAAGAACAGATCATTAGATTTAGATTGATGAACCAGAGGAGTTCACTTCATTCTTGACTTTTTCAACTTTATAAGCAAAACAGAAAATCAACTCTTTTCTTGACATTTTAACTTTATTTCCAAAAGTCGACCTTATTCTCTAAACACAAACTGGGAGAGAAAATGATTTTGTTATTTTGACTTGAATCTCAAAATGCAAAATAAATTACAGAAATATTTAGACTTTTCTCAACATTTCAACATTTGAGAAACACTTTATTCCCGAAATGCAAAAAACTTAGTTTGACTTTGTCTTTTATAATTTGAATGAATAAATATAAAGATATTTTAAACATTTCCGTGGTATTAAACTATATCCTCAACACTTTTAATTTATTCTTGAAATGAAAAAAGGAAAAATACATTTTCAACATTTTGTTTTTTTTCTAAATTTAGAAAATGTAGAAAATGTAAAAATGAAATTGTGACTGAATTAACGAAATAAAAAAAGAAATTCTTCCTCTACTCTTTTTTCTGACCCCGTTAATCTTGTTCGTCGCTGTCCAATGAGGTTTGTGTCCAAACATGTCGTCTCTTGTGGACACTTTTAATTCTGTCGTTGACTATTTCTCCGTCGGACGCTTCATGAGGAAATCTCATTAGTGGACGTCTGCAGTAAAGATGCATGAGATTTATAATAACACAGGATGAGTAGAGTTCGAGCAGGACTCAGGACTCTGGTGTTCAGGCTGTGAGAAGCTGATCAAGGCAGCGAGAGCATGAAATATGTCCAACATTAAGTGACACTTGGGACAAATAACAGCTTGCCCAACACTAATTAAGTGTTGAAATACTCTCCATTTTTCTGGCAAATGTGTTTTTTCTCCCCAAAGGATCGGGACACCTTTTCAAAGCTTCCTCTTCGCTGATGGAAAAAAAAAAAAAAAAATGATTTTGTGATATTTCATCGAATGGTTAGAATTTATTCTCGGACTGAAAATCTTATCTTCCTCCTCTCATCCTCTTTCAGTTCTGTTTGTTTCTCTCTCTCTCTCTCTCTTGTGTCTCATTCTCTTTAAATGCTCTGTTGTCCCTCTCTCCTCCTCCCTCTTTATGTTTCTCTGCTTCCTCCCCTCTGTCGTCGTCTCCTCTCTGTCTCTCTGTCTCTCTGTCTCTCTCTCTCTCTCTGCCAGGCCATGGCCTAGTTAAAACGTCTTCTGCTTTGTGCCTGCTCTCTTTCATCAGTTTGGAAGTTTTTTAGACGCTCCCCTCTTTCTCTTTCCCTTTATCTCTCTGCTTCTTCTCCACTGTCTCTCGTCCTCTTTTTTATATCATTCTGCCTCCCCCCCTCTGCCCCTTTTACCTGCATTCTCCTTTTGTCCTCATTTTACGTCTCCCCCTCTCTCCCCATATTTATTTATACCTGTCTTTCCCTCTCTCTGTCTTCTCTCGTCCTCCGTCTACCTCCGTCTCTCTGTTCCATTGTGTGGCTGATGGCTGTCAGGAGATCTCATCACTGAGTCTCTCTTATTACATGATTACAGGGTAATTATCCTGTGAAGTTGTCTTTGCCCGAAAGTATGAAAGACGCTTAATGTCTTTTTAATGGGGTTTGGAGTTTGGAGACTTTTTTGTCTTCTGTAGTTACTGTGGACTCTTCAATTTATTGCATTCACATGTGACTGGCCTGGAACAGCGTGTCCTGATTAAGTGGCACTCGGTTTCATGGTAATTTTCGGGCGCTGCGTCTCGCTCCGACTTGTCAGTCACACGACTTCTGGCCTCGGCTTTGTCAGCAAACGCTGTTACCTGCCAGCGCCTGATTAAAACGCACCAGATGAGGCTCCTGAGATGTTTAGGGGCAAGTGACGACATAGAAAAGTGTCTCAGACCGTGGAGGAGACGGGAGAGAGAGAATCCTGCTGAGGGTCCAGTCACTGTACGTCTTATATATGTTTGTCTCATCTCACGTTTCATTAGATAAACCTCCAGTAACTAAAACTTAATACGATCTAATACCTGAACCAATATTGCAGCAGTGCAGCACTAAATCCTCCCTCATGAAGCTCATTATGTTTTAGGAGGGAAGATACAACTTTATGATCATTTTGGACGCTGCAGTTTGTGGTTTAACTGACGAGCGCTTCCTTTATATCAAAGATAAAGCTAAATTAGCAACGGGGCATAAAAACATTTTTAAAAAGACGATGTTGGTTTCAGCCTCTAAAATTTGGCATCAGTCAGATTTTAATGGTCATTTTATAAAAACATTTATATTCAAACTCCAGGTTTTCAGGAGATTTGTGTTTAAATTTTATTTAAAGTGTATTTCAGTACAACAATACATATATTTTGTGACGGCAGTAAAACATCTGCTGATGTGTTTTATCTCTGATGCTGTGCTGATCTCACATCTCTCAAAGAAACAGGACGTTTCAACCAAAAGCTCTGTTTTCCTCTTTACAAAAATGCAAATGATCTCTTTCTCCCCTTCTGTCATTGCCCATCATGCTTCTTCCTGTTCTTTGTCTTATTCAGGGTGAATTCAGAACGTCACTCACAAACAGTATCAACATGACTTCTCTCTATGTTTCTCTAACGGGTGTTTTTCTCTGCTTTTAGTCTTTCCCCAAGTGGCTGCTGTGCAGCTCGATGAACACAAACAGTATTAACATGTAATTTTCTCTCTTTGTGTTTGTCTCCACACAGCTTGAGCACCGCTGCTGTCTGTGATGCTATCCCATGACGCCCAGGTCAGTAGCTGACACTTCCAGTGAGCGGGAGACGCCACTGCACAATCGGTCCTGGGCCGGCGGCATTAGCCGGTTCTCGCCCTCCCTCTCTCACGCTGGAGACGCCACCTCCACCCACCTTCCAGTATCCACAACCATCAGCTCCGATCCACCCCAGTAAGACCCCCTCACACACCGACACGCTGACGTCCTTGGCAAGCACCAGCAGCAGCAGCAGCCAAAAATCACAATATCTTCAACGCAATCAGCAACACCAGCACCAACACTGTCACCAGCAGCAGCAGCAACCATGTCCAGTCGTAGAAAGTCCTCCACCCCCTGCATGGTTCGGGTCATTACCGACCTGCCTGAAGAGCAAGATGAAGCAGAGGAGGTGATGGAAATATCGACGGACAAGTCGGAGTCACCTGAATGTGCAGAAAAGAGTCAAGTCGCCGAGCAGGAGAAACCAGAGGATCCAGACCAGCAGACATTTCCAAATCCAGAGGAAAACCAAACTCCTGAGCCATTAGAACAAGAGCAACAGTCGAGTAAAGAAGACCGACCCCCTGTCATCGAAGATGTAGAAGCCAGAGAAGAGAAGGACGGGGAAGAGGCCGAATCTGACACAACGTCCCAGAAAAAGCTGCCCAGAGGTTACGAGTGCAAATACTGCCCGTTTTCCACACAGAACCTGAATGACTTTAAAGAGCATGTGGACTCCAGCCACCCTAACGTCATTCTCAATCCGTTGTACCTTTGTGCTGTCTGCAACTTCAACACCAAGAAGTTCGACTCACTCACGGAGCACAACGACAGCCAGCACCCGGGCGAGACTAACTTCAAGTTCAAGAGGATAAAAGTGAACAATCAGACGATCTTAGAGCAGACAATCGAAGGCAAGGACAATTCAGTTGAATGCGAAGCGACAAATGAACGAGGTGAGAGCAGCAACAGTTCCGTGTTTCCACCTTGTATATCTACCACGGTGAAAACCCCCGACAATATCCAGTCGCTCTATCAAGGAGGCGACCTGAAAAGCCAGCTGGATCAAATCACAGCGGTAAGCATCAACGGAACAGTCATCATCCCTGAACCCACCATCCTCCAAGGGCTCTCCCATGTCACCCCGATGCTCCAGCGCCCGCCCAACTTCAACTCTGTACCAAAAATAGCTGTTCCCTTGAACACTACCAAATACAACCCTTCTCTAGACGACAACCTGACATTGATCACCTCCTTTAACAAATTCCCTTACCCGACACATGCTGAGCTGTCCTGGCTCACAGCTGCTTCCAAGCACCCAGAGGAACAGATCAAAGTGTGGTTCACCACCCAGCGCCTGAAGCAAGGCATCACCTGGTCCCCGGAGGAGGTGGAGGAAGCAAGAAAGAAAATGTTCAATGGTTCCATCCCTCCTGCCCATCACATGTTCACCATCCTGCCTACAAGCCCCAGCTCTCAGCCGTCTGCCAAAGCTTCCCAGCAGCCCATCGTCCACACCACAGTGGAGCATCCAGGTCTCATCCGGACGACCACGTCCAATGGGCTGAGTGTGGTCACCACCACAAGCGCTCTAGCTGGGTTCGCAATTAGCTCCACCCTTAAACGACCCCTGCCAGCACACCTGACGACGCTGTGTGGCCCCGAGTCTAAGCGACCTATTATGGCAGTCGCCCCCCATTCTGGTGACCCTAAAGACAAGGGCCTCATGGCTCCTCCTCCACCCCCTCCGCCCCAGAAAGACCACTTCCCAATGGCCCCTCCTCCTGTTCCCATAGAGATGAAGAGGCCCTCCGCTGCTGTGCCTTTAATGCCCCCCCCATCGTCCTCCCCGTCTTTGTCGTCCAAAGGGAAGATTCTCTCATCGTTAGGAAGCCCCAAAACAAAGCCGGTGTTGTCGCTGCCCTCCATTGTCTTTCCAGAGTCCTTAACAAGGCCAATGATCGCCCCCCCGCCTATCTTTGCCCCTCCATTTAAAAAATCTTTACTTCTTCCTCGTACCCTGCCCATTGCCTCCAAAGAAAAGCACCCAAACACCCACCCTTTGCCAGCTCCAGATTTGAAGTTGCAGAACTCCCCTCCACTCGTTACCCCACAGATAAGGAGGCCGACCATTATTCAGACCATTCGTGCTCCGGCTAAAGCTCCACCACAGGCTCCGGGATTTACCCTGGATGGTAAGAAACTAAAAGAGCAGCAAGGAGTGGAGCTGAAAGCCAGCTACCCCAGAGGAGACAAGGTACTAACCCCTCTGACGGAGGCCAATGGAACGTCTCGCACTGACGGTAAATGGCCTCATAACCAGACCTCCGCTCTTTACAACAATGGAGGGATACATATGGATGGTGGAAAGACAGCGGCATCCACAAAACCAGATTTTCAGCAGAAGTCCTCAGTGTTGACTCAGTTTCCTTTGCTGGAGAGAATGAAAGGAAAAACAGCAGAACAGTTGAAGATCTTGGAGGAGAACTTCCTGAGGAACAGCTTCCCCACACACAGTGATGTGGACGGTCTGTCAGCCACCACCCGCCTGTCTCACCGGGAAATCGACAGCTGGTTCGTGGAGCGCCGTGCACTACGCGACAACTTGGAACAAGCACTTATCAACTCCATGGGCACTAAGAGGATCGGGGTGGGCGGCATCGCTGCCCTCACTGACAAACAACTGTATCAGCAGCAACACCAAACTCTGAAGCTGAATGGGATTCATAAACCTAGCATCGGTGCCGGCCAGCTTAAAAGCCCTCTGCTAACTACGCACACTCTGCCCATCCTTTCCCCCGGTACAATCGCACCCTCCGTCCCCAACCCCAATTCCTGCTCAGTGCCTCCAGACAGCCGATCCCTGGCGCTCCTCAAGGACGACTTTGCTCAAACACGGTGGCCTTCCCCTGAGGAGTTAAGCCAGCTGGAGGGTCGGACAGGACTGGCTCGCGCCGACCTCGCCCGCTGGTTCAACGACAGTCGGCTGCAGAGCGGCAGCATGGACCTGACGGAACTTTTTAACAACAACGGAGTAAATGGAGGACAGGGGGCGCCTGCGTGCTCCCCTGAAAATGCTCCCTCCAGCATAATCCAGCGCTGTCAGGAAGGAGCCATAACAAACAACAACAGCAGCACTAAGGTGCTGGAGGTTGAGTTGGGCTGGTTGATGGAGCAGCGCGCCAACAGCCTCAACATTCAACAGCACGATGGCGTCCACGACCGGTTTGCTGGAAGGTACTGTACTTATCGAATATTTAAATATTTCTGTTTTTAATTCAATTGAAGTATTTTGCTCTTGTTTTGAAGGATCCTGACATTTTGTTGTGTAAATATACGGTAAAGTAAATTTTATGACTAATTGTTAAACTTCCCCAGTAACATGAAGTAAATCTTATTTATTTAACAGTCTCACATTTATTTGGAATGTTTTTACTTTTAAACATTAAATTTGCACTAAAGGCTGAAAATTTCGTGAATCCTCGCCACCTTGTGGGAGCACTGGTATTACTCTCAAGCTTCTGCAGGTTCATTTAGAAGGAGAACGTTGACATTGTCGTTTTCGTACATTAACGTAAAGAATCTTAAACCATATCCGTCATCTGCCACAGAAACATAAATCAAATGTTACTCTGGGGCCTTTTAGCGAATAAGTGAATTCACATCATGATAATCGAAGAATCAAAACTTAAATTCTTCTATAAATCACCAGTTTCTCTTTATTTCCATCTCTTCTTAATTTAAAATACTCGTGATGACGGAATTGAAAGAGATTCAGTTTCTTTGAGGAACAATTCAGCACAAGAAGTGGACGGACCACAAAATGACAAAGTGTTCGGTTACTGTCACAATCTTTTTCTTCTCACTGACACTTTTTGTTGTGACCATCCAGAATAAATCTCTGCTTCCTCTCGGCAGGATCGTGCTGTTGTTTCCTTGTTGCCACGTTAACATTGTTTTCAGGACATTAACCTGAAAATCTACGGCACTTTATTTAGTCTGCCGTGAATTCGGGGAGCTTGGGACATCTTTCGTCAAATAACCGAGCCATTAGGCAGGAAACCAATATCTCCACAATAATTTGGGCGAGAGTTTTATTCTTCCCGTGAGTCAGCTCCGGGGTTCAGGCTCAGTCTTTGAAAAGCTCGTTAACGGCTCGATAGAATCCTTCTGGCTCTGCTGCAGTTTGCTCTGAAATGTACAGACACCAGGAGAAATAATGACACAGCAACACAAAGGTATTTATGTATTTTATATACATTCAAGGTAAATTCAGGGAGAGGTGATGTCACGCAGAAGCTGCTGAAGTTAAAAGTCGTCTCTCTTTACTTCACCAAATATAATTAGACTTTTGTTTTTGCCAAAAAATCTAATTGTTGTAACTTGACACAGTTGACATTTCTCATCTGTGAGTTTTATTTTCTCATTTTCCACATAACATGAAAAAAGTGATAATTCCAAAAGCTGATGTTCCGCTTGTGTTAAATCTGATCGTGAGCGATCACTGCACTTCTGCACATATCAAAGTGATTGACAGCTGCTTTCTTAATCGTGGAACACAGATCTCCTTGAGTCTGTTCGTTCCGTCTCTTTATCTGCGACGACGAAATCAGTTTCATGTTCGTCAGTTAAACCTCATTGAGATGTTTTATGGGTTTTCAGCCGTTAACTGCTGGTTTCATGGTAACACACGGCGATGTGGATTTACAATTTCACTTTATATATCTAATCATTTAATGCCAACATTTGTCTTTAAATAAAATCACATTCCTATAGAAACTAAAAGAATGTTACGAACACAAAAAATATTAAA